CTGCCAAGCAACTTAACAACATACTGCAAGGGGGTGAAATTGAAGATTGGTTAACATCTGGCAAAACTACCTGATAATGAAAGATCCAGCAAAAGGGGCGGCACCAGGCAACTACAGGCCAATTACCTGCTTGCCAACAACTTTCACATTGCTAACTGGTGTTTTAGCTGATACAGTCCAACAGCATCTAGTTGAAAACAAGCTCTTTCCACCTGAGCAGAAAAGAAACTGCCCAAATAGCAGAGGAACAAAAGATCAGCTCTTAATTGACAAGATTATTTTGGAAATCTGTAAAAGAACGAAGACCAACTTGAATTAGCTTGGATTGATTACAAGAAGGTATCTGACTCCCTGCCACATGATTGGATAATCAAGTGCCTAGAAATAACAGGAGTCAGTAGATACATCAGAAGCTTTGTGCAAAGATCAATGGCACAATGAGAGACACAGTTGCTGGTCAATGGTGATAGACTAGGAGAGGTTAATATCAAGAGAGGAACCTTTTAAGGAGACTCACTATCACCATTACTGTTTGTCATTGCATTGATTCCACTGTCAACAATACTGAACAAGTCAGGGCATGGCTATCAAACATCAAAAACATCTGCCAGGCTATCCCACCTCCTTTACATGGGCGATCTGAAGCTGTATGGAAAAACACCATCAGAAATAGAATCACTGCTCAACACTGTCCGAATATACAGCCAAGATATTGCACTGGAGTTTGGACTGGACAAATGTGCCACCCTTACCATCAACAGGGGAAAAATAGTGAACACTGAAATCAAGATGCTCTATGGAAATAACATCAAGAGTCTGGATGAAGAAGATCACTACAAATCCTTCAAGCTGACAACATCAAGCACATTGAAGTAAAGAAGGTTAGTGGTGAATACATCATGAGTGAAGTAAATCTTAAAAGCGAAACTCAGTGGAGGAAATGCCATCAAGGCAATTCACATCTGGGCAATTCCAGTCATTATACACAGCTGGAATAATGGACTGGACTCAAGTTGAACTAAAAGCCCTGGATAGGAAGACTGGAAAAATAATGACAATGAATCCATGCAGCAATGTTGACAGACTCTACTTACCAAGGAGCATAGGTGGGCCTGAAATGTTACAAGTACACCAGACAGTTGAAGAAGAAAAAAGGGCATTGGAAGAATATCTGAAGAACAGTGAAGAAGATGCACTGAAACTAGTACACCATGAAGGCTTACTGAATACCAAAGAGACCAAACTGGCCTACAAGAA